TATTTTATTTCTTTTATTTTCCTACAATCCAAACAGTTCTTTATCGACATTTTTTGGGCTCATATGCTTATACGAGTAGTTTCTATTGCAGATGTGAAGAATAGATGGGAGAAGAGCTCTTGGGGGAGGAAGCTGATTGTGCAAAAGAGGAGAGCTGAACTGAATGATTTCGATAGATTTAAGGTTATGTTGGCTAAAATTAAGGTCAGTTTTTTGAGCTTTTTCCTATTTATGCCTTTGTAACTTGGGGTGTAGTTGAGTCACTTGTGAGCCCGCTCGAGCTTGGCTCGATAATTCGATCTTGATTTGAGCTCGTCAGCTTGCTCGTTTTAAAAAATATATAAATATATAAAATATACTCAAAATATATTAAATTTGAAGACTTTATCTTTAAAGTATTAAAAATATTTTTATCAAGTAATTTATTATTATTTCTCTTGGAATTGCTTATTTTGTTTGTCATTTTATTGTAATACTATCCTAAATTAATATTTTTTTCTCTTTTATATAAATAAACCGGCTCGCGAGTCAGGTTTGAACTCGTAGATTTAAGCTCGAGCTCAAACTGGAACTTGATAGAATTAATCAAGCTCAAGCTCAAGCTCAGGCCATGGGTGTCTCGAGCTGGACTTTCTCCTTTACACCCCTATCCGTAACTATTTGTGGTTGCCACTCATGGCTCACAAAAATCTTCATTTTATTATTTATTTTTTTGTTTTTATTTACAGAGAGGAGATTCCATCCGACGTGAGCTTTCAAAGCTAAAGAAGAGTGCTTCAAAGTGAGGCTTTTGAAGAATTAATGGCTGATTCTGTTCCCATTATTGCAGGATTAAGTTGAGTGTCTACCAACCGTTAGAAAAATTGTAGTTTTGGTCGGTGTTATGAACTTTTGTGGATTCTTTAAAGTTTGACGTTTTGATTTTGTACCTCTTTGCTTTATTATTTGAATGAATTTAAGAGTAATTTATGAAACTGGTTTCTGTCAACATGTGATTGCAGGTTCTCCAACGCAATCTTCAAGTTACATTTTTGATTGTTTAATATATAAGATGTTAGAAATGTCTCAATTTGTTTAATGTTTTTTTTTCATTATTAATTTAATTTTAGAATTTAAAATGTTCATCAAATATATTTTATTAAAATTATGAAAATTAAAAAAAAAATATAAAACTAAACTAAAAACATTAAGCTTGGTGAGTTTATCACTCAAAAGGGGGAGTTTTTATGTATTTATAAAACTGACATTCAATTTTATATTTATAATACTTTAGTGTCTTAGTTTTATTAATAAAAAATTATTTCACATTAAAGGTATTAATATGCATGGCAATTTTATATGATTCAAAGTGGGCATGCTGGCGGAAGACTAAAGAGCCCACTTGATCAAATGCAACCCTTTTAAAGTGGGGTTGGAGGTGAATCAGATGCAGGCTACCTGAACCAAGGCCAATTTTATATGATTTAAAGTGGGTATGTTGGCGGAAGACTAAAGAGCCCACTTGATCAAATGCAACCCTTTTAAAGTGGGGTTGGAGGTGAATCAGATGCAGGCTACCTGAACCAAGGCCAATTTTATATGATTTAAAGTGGGTATGCTGGCGGAAGACTAAAGAGCCCACTTGATCAAATGCAACCCTTTTAAAGTGGGGTTGGAGGTGAATCAGATGCAGGCTACCTAAACCAAGAACTAAGACCAATTGAGTCGAGCAGAAGTGTTGACCTCAGGGAAAAGTTCAGTATTGCCAACCATCTCACATACACCCTTAGGATTTCTAATTTGGGGCCTAGAACTGGCCATAACAAAATCCACAAAGCATCCTAAAGGACTTCCTCGTCAAGGGACGAGTTATCAGTCGGATTACAGTGATTCACTTTTTTTTCTATTAACCTAGTATCATTCTTTCGACAGTAGCTCTTCGCATGGTGATTGATAGTAGGCAACTAAAATGCTAGTGATATTTGTCGATGCAGCATGTCACCGACTGAACATCAATGATGTTGCTCGGTCGATGAAGCAGAAATGTGGTCTTCAACTATCACCTTGGTCGAACCGATTCGGGAGGAGGTATAGAAATAGTTGAAGGCCAAATATTTTTAATAGGTGTAATATTCAACCCGATTATCAAAAATAATGATTGGTGCCAAAAGCAAACGTTAAGTGGATGATATGTGTTGACTTTACAAACCCGAACTATTTCTGCCCAACATATAGCAACCATTTGGTAAGGATTGATGCTCTTGTTGACTCAATTATCAGCCATTCCGTGATGAGTTTCTTGAACGTCTTCTTCTGATATCACCAAACAAATATGCAACATGCCAATGCATAGAAAACATTTTTTATAACAAGAAAATGTGTATTATGCTGTAATGAAATGCCCTTTGGGCTTAAAAATACTATGGCTAATTACCAATAGGTAAGGAATGTAATATTTTCTAAGCAAAAGAGAAAAAATATTGAAGTGTACATGGATAATGTGTTTGTTAAAAGTAAAGAAAACCGGATAACACTAAATATTTTAAAAGAAACCTTTGAATTATTTAGAAAATTAAACATGAGAGTGAATCCACTCAAATACATTTTTTGAGCACCAACAGACAAATTCCTCAACTACCACTTAACTTTAGAGAGAATAAAAACTAATCAGGAGAAAAGACATGCATTGCTCAACATGTCATCTCATCATATCACCAAAGAAGTGCAAAAACTGACCAATCTGATCACAGGTTTGAGCTGGTTCATTTCAAAATTGAGAGACAAATGTGCATCATTCTTCAAAACTTTTAGGAAAAAAAAAGAACTTTGCATAGTCAAAATAATATAAGCACGCATTCAAGAAACCGAAGGAGTCCTTGGCATCTTCATCTCTTCTTAAGAGCCCAAACTGAATGAAAAATTTTCTCTACACGAGAGGTTTGTACCTGAGGCCATCAGTTTGGTTTTAGTCTGAAAGGAGCTCAGGAAATAGTTACCAATTTACTACATCAGTCGAGTCCACTGAGGCACCAAACTCAGGTATCCCATCATGAAAAAACTAAGTTTTTGCTTTTGTTATCTCGCTCACAGACTACAACCATACGTCAAGGCACATTCAGTCCAGATCATCACTAATCACCCACTCAGATCCCTCCTTACTTAGCCGGAGCATTTCGGTTGGCTCCTCAAATGAGCGGAGAAGATAAGTGAGTTTTACATTTTTTACATACCTCAGATCGTGATCAAAGAGCATGCAATAACTCATTTTTTGGAAGACTTCTCCAAACTGAGAAAAACAAATGAAGGAGTACCTTCCAAAAGCTAGACTTGGACGCTACATATTGATGGAGTTTCAAGCCAGACACGAACAAAACTTTGTCTTGCTTTGAGCAATCTGATAGGGGAGCCTTGGGTTCAAAGTCACCAACAATTAGGCCAAATATAAAGTTTTTACTGACAGGCTGCACTTTGCCTGCGGGATGGGTGTTTAGCATCTCCTAGCAAATTTTGACTCACATATAGTGGTAAACTAAGTAAATGGTGACCTCGAAATCTCAGATGCCATGAGGGCCAAATTCCCGAATAAAGAAAAAAAATATAGATCAGGAAGTTTGAAGTCATTAAAATCGGCACATTGCTCACGAGGAGAACTAAGTAGCCGACCACCTATCCGCATAGGGAAGGGGATACCTTGAGGATTAAATCCGACCGACCATTGAAGAACTAAAGACAATATAATTGGAGAACGAAGGACTAAAGAAGTTGGATAGTTACTTATTTAATATCCCAAAAATCAGAAAGATATTACATGTTGACAACACAAGGAGGTTCAAGATCAAGGCCGCAGAATTTTTCCCCATTGAAGGGAAGCTTTTCCAAAGGTCAGTTATTTCACTATACTTGAAGTGGTTGAGAGAAAACAAGGCAGAAGATGTCCTCCGAGAGATACACTACGTGGAGTGCAAAAGCCATTCTAGAAAAAAAACTTTAGCACACAGCACAAAAACAATGCTACTTCTAGCCGACATTATTGAAACACATATTGTTCTTTAGGAGATGCGAAAAATATCAGAAGTGCACACTATTTTAACCTTAGTCGACACAAATGCTTCAATCGATTAGCAGCCTCTGGCCTTTCACCGTTTGGGGACTGGACATCCTCGGGCAATTTACGGATTTATACTCATACTTTTGTGTAAAAGTAGAATTAAAACCTTTGAATTCTCTCAAGTACTCAAATATTACATACAAATGCACCCCTCTCATTCTAGAGTTCAACTAAAAATAAAATTGGAAATTTACTTAGTACCACATAATTCTTATGTATTTACACATGGAACCACTAAAGTTTGATATTTACCTTTTAACACATTGGGGCTAAAGCTCATGAATGAAAAGTGTATTTCACTCTTAAAAATTTAGTAATAGTTATATTTTTTATGTAATGCCTAAAACTTTAGTGGCATTTATGTAAATATTAAAATTATGTGGAATGTAAGTAAATGGCACAAAAAATATTTTCTCCCATAAATTTAAATTAT